TATACCAACCACACAGCCACAGAGAAGACATCCCACTCAGTTAAAAAAAAAAAACAAAAAAAACCAAAAAAAAACCAGGCCGAAAACAGCTCAGCCCACAGAGTCTCAGCCCTGGGGCTGGAGTCACTGTGTTCAGATGCTGATGCACGGGCTGCGGGAGGGGGTGACCCTTCCTCTTTGTGCACAAAGCCACAGAAGAGGTTGAATCAGCACTTGGACACTGCTGCCCCGCACTCTCGCTGCTGTACTTCGCCACTGTACTTCTCCCCGGGGCGGCTCGGACCCGCTCCGGTCACTCCCGCCAGCGTCCCGCTCCCGGCCAGTACCGCTCAGCCCTCGGGCGCTCCACGGGAGGCACCACCCGTGGGTCGGCCACGCGGGGCTAGCCCAGCTCACCCCCTGCGGGTCCTTCACGAAGTAGCTGCCGCTGGAGCCCTGCGAGATGCGCTCGGGGAAGATGCCGCGCTCGCTGGCCAGCTCCGCCCGCCGCACCACGTCGGCAAACTCGGGATCCTCGGGGAAGTCATTGCGCTCTCGCTGCGCGGCCGCCGCCGCCGCCGCCGCTGCCGCCGCCGCCGCCTGGGCCTGCGCCTGGGCCTGCGCCGCGGCCGGGCCCCGCGCCCCGCGCTCCAGCAGCGGCTGCCGCTCGCGGTCGCGGCCCCCGGGGGAGCCGGGAGGGGAGGGCGGCGGGGGCGCAGCGGGCGGGAGGGCGCGCACGGCCCCCCCCGGCAGCCCGTAGTCGGGGCCCTGCGCCCTCTCCGGCGACACCAGCGGGCTCGTCTCATCCATCGCGCCGCCCGCCCGGCCCCGCCGCGCCGCTGCTGCCGCTTCCGGTTCCGTCCCCGTCACGGCGGCCCGGGGGCGGCTCCGCCTCCCGCCGCACCCCATTGGCTGCTCCGCCCCACATGGCGACACGCCCAGCCCGGCCGCTGCGGCCGGAGCCGCGGGGGCGGCTGCGGACATGATGCCGCTGGGACTAGTTCGGAAACTCTCGCGCCTCGAGCCGTCCGTTGGGGAGGCCACGGTGTCTCCGCCTCCCGTACACCCCCGCCGCGGCGGCTGGCGCCAGTGCCCTACACAAAGATGGACGCTCTGGAGTGGCCGTGCCCATTGCTGCCCTTCACAAACATGGCGGCAGGGCGAGGGCGCTGCCCCTCCGCAGCCACGCCCGCGGTGGCGAGCTCCTTGCCCCACACAAAGATGGCGGCCGGCGAGGGCGTGCTGCGCAGCTGGCCAATGAACAGTCGCGTTGCTAGCGGTTGCCACGGAAACAGCCAACAGCGAGTGGGGATGGACGCTGGCGGCGTGGCACCGCCCGGCGGGGCGGGGTGCTGGCAGGGGCGGTGGCGGCCACCGCCCCTCGGCGGGCCGCGGTGGGGAGCGGTGTAGGCGGACAGCGCGGAGCCAGGTGAGCGCGGGCCGCGAGTCCCTGCGCCGCCCGCCCCGCTCCTGGGCACGCACCGGGCCCGTGAGCAGCGCCACGGGTGTCCCAGTGGTGAGGCGTGCGTGTATCAGCCGTGGGTGCATGAACACACCGGGGTGCGGGTGCATCAGCCGTGGGTGCACGGACACGGCGGGGTGCGGATGATCACTCACGGGAACAGAGACACGACGGGATGCTGGCACATCGGGGTGTGGGTGCATCACCCGTGGGCGCGGTCACGGCCCCGGACACGCTCCCCAGGTGGGATGTGCGCGCATCCCCGGTGGGTGCGTGGCACGGGCGGGATGTCCGTGCCTTTGCCCGGGGATGTGCGGTGCAACGAGGCGTGCGCCCCTCGGCCGCTGCGCGGTTCGGGCCGTGCTGGGCGCTGCCTGTCCCTGCGCGCTGCGGGCAGGCTCGGGGCGCGGGGAGCCCAGCGCGGGCGTGCCCGGCTTCTGAGCAGGCTGGGGTGCTCGTGGGGTGCTGTCCTCCGGGTCAAGTGTCACAGGCCGTGCTGGCCGAGTTCACAGCCCTCGGCAGCACCCTCTCCTCCGCCTGGCATGGCTGGGCAGGCTGCGGGGTGGGAGCCGGCGGTGCGCTCCCGGTCCCTCCCATCAGCAGAGAGCACTGTTCCGCCGCTGTTCGCCTTGGCTGGGGCCATTTCTCTGGACACAAAGCCCTTGCAAGCTCCTGTTTTGCTCCCGAGTGCCGCGTCCTTGCTGGTTCGTGTGGTTCCGTGGCCACCCCTTGGGTGCTGCGCAGCCGGCTGTGAGCGGACAGACCCCGCTTAGATGCTGGGAGCCGCTTCCCATCGCTGGCACCGCCTGAGCGGCACCGGCAGCTGCTGGAGAGGCAGCGCCCAGCCCACCTGCGGGGCTGTCTCTGTTCTGGTGCCTTCTCGTGTGCTGGGGAGATCTGTGCTGCGTGGCAGGGCTCTGTGGGGTGTGCTTGCTGTTGGCAGGTTTGCAAACCCTGGGTAGCTGAGCAAAGCCCTGAAGCCCCAGGATCCTATCCGTGCTGTCCCTCTTGGGAGGAGTGTCCTCTCATCCCTGGGGGTGAACCGGGTCTGCCCATTCTTGAGGCTGAATCTGGAAACCTCACAAGCTCTCTGTTCCCTCTCCTGAGGTACTGCCACTAAACACAGTCTAGCAAATCTATCTCCTCTCCAAAATGTTTGTTTTTGCCTGGAACTGCCACAGCAAAGCTGAGAGTGGCCCCCGGTCTGAGCCTGCACAGTGCAGGACCTCTGGGGTTCTACTGGACTGCCATGACAGAGGCAGCCAGTTCCTGCCACACTCCTCTTCCTGCCACTCACTCACATTTCACAGGGCTGTGACCCCCGTGGGCTCACATCTCCCTGAGCCCTGCAGTGGGGCGGGCAGCAACCCGAACCTAGTGGCTGGGGTTTCAGAGCCTGGGCAGGGCAGCTGTGCTCCTGGGCTCACCTCCTCATCTGTGCTGTGCCCTCGCAGAGCTGTCCCCAGGGCAGACAGGCGCCTCTCTGCGAGCTGAGAGGATGCAAGGGCTCTGGGCGAGCCGAGCTGCTCTCCCTGCCCAGCAGCTCTCTGTGCCTATCCCTGCCAGCTCTTGTCCTGCTGTGCCGGAGGCTGTTGCCATGACCCTCACCAAAGGCTCCTTCACTTACTCCAACGGGGAGGAGTACCGCGGCGAGTGGAAAGAAGGTGAGATGTGGCAGGAGGGAACAGTGCCACCTGTGCTGGGGGACGAGCAAACCCGACATCTCTGCCCAGTTCCACACTGGGGCAGGTCCCGCCTCTGCCCAGTGCTGCCCATTTCTGCTCTCGCTAGGTCGCAGGCACGGCATCGGACAGCTGACGTTTGCTGATGGCACTGCTTACGTGGGGCACTTTGAGAACGGGCTCTTCCACGGCTGCGGCGTGCTCACCTTCCCCGATGGCTCCAGGTGGGCACAGCATACTGCATGCTCCCTGGGCATTCCCACTTGCTGTGGGGAGCTGCCACCTCAGGAGATCCTTCCACACAGGTACGAGGGGGAGTTTGTGCAGGGCAAGTTCAATGGCGTTGGGGTCTTCACCCGCTGTGACAACATGACCTTTGAGGGCGAGTTCAAAGGCGGGCGTGTGTATGGCTTCGGTGAGTGCTGGCAGCACGGTGCAGGCGTCTGCAGGGCCCCTGCTCAGCACAGCCCCTTCCAGCTTCATCCCTCCTTCACTGCCCCATCCCCGGTGGGTGCGGCTCACTGCCTCTTCACTCCCAGCCCTTCCCTCTGCTCTCCAGGTCTCCTGACCTTCCCTGATGGCTCGCACGGTGTGCCCCGCAATGAGGGCTTCTTTGAGAACAACAAGCTGCTGCGGCGGGAGAAGTGCACGGCCATCATCCAGAGGGCCCAGGGCGCCTCCAAGTCTGCCCACAGCCTGACAGCGTGATGGTGCCCGCATCCCCTCCCACCAGAGCAGGGACCCCCCTACCTGGGCACTGGCTGGCCCTGGAGAAGGGATGTGGCACTGCTGGGTGCCTCCCTGCCCTTCGCCCCTCCAAGCATCCTGCCAAACCCCTGCCGCTGGAGGGGATGGGACCCTCTGCTCTCCACCCAAGTGCCCTGGGGCAGCCGTGGTGCCTTCTCTTTCTGGCTGTAGCCCTGGCACCTGCTGGAGCAGCAGAAGGACAGGGTGACAGGGGCTTGGGCCCTCTTCCCCCCAGGAAGACTGTGGACCACTACAGCTGCTAGCCAGCTACAGAGGATGGAGCAGGGGGTAGAGGCTGGTCTCTGACCCCACTGCCAGGGTGCCTTGGCTGGAAGCTGCTGACTGAACCATGTGCCCCCAGAGTGGCAGCTCCTGGCTCACTTTGTTGCCCTGGTCCTGGTGGCAGGGTGGGCACCCCAGGCATGCTGTGGCCTGCACCCTCAGCTCTGGGTGACTGGCCATCCCTCTGCATGCCCAGGGCATGGTGACATTGTGTCCCTGAAGAACCCAGCCTGCTCTCAGGGGCAGCCAGTGGGCTGTGTTCCCCTCATCCCTGTGCCAATCCACCCATCCACCCACTGCCTTGGAGACATCAGCAGTAGCACCACCACCAAGAGTGACTGGGGAATGCCCAGCCTGGCACATGTCTGCTGCACGCTGGTGGAGGATGCTAGCAATGGTGAGCAAGGAGAAGGGTCAGCTGGAGCCTGGAATGTGGGACATGAGCAGGGCTGCATGGGGTGCCAGGGCTGGAGCAGGAGGCCTGGGCAGAGCGGGGATAGAGGTATGGCGAAGGGGCAGGCAGGGGGCACAAAGTTCCCCATTTTGCCCCCCACAGGCATCCTTCATCTCCCCACTGCATGCTCACCTTCACCCTGGTGTGATCTGGCTGGCTGTGGCACAGGGATCCTGGCAGCCCTCACTGCCCAGTGTGGGGCTGCAGGGGCCGTGCCCTCCCTGCCAGTCTCTGCCCGCACCGGGTCCCGTGCCTTGCTGTGCCCCTGGCTTGTGCTGCCACCTGCACGGGCCTCAGCTGAGTAAACCATGTTGCCAAACACCCGTGCCATGTCTTTTTTGCTGGGAGCAGGGATGGCGTGAGGGCCTGGCATAGACAGGACTGCAGACACAAAGAGGAGACTGCAGGTTTATTCATGGCACAAGGATCCACTCCTTCCAGGTAAAGACAGGTCCTTGGGGGCTAGCAGGGATGCAGGCTGGTCTGGGATCGCCCTCCTCTACCCAGTCTGCCCAGTGTAGCCCTGTCCAACAGGAAAGAGGAACATGGCTGGCCTCTCCTGGCCACCTCCCAGCATCCCCAGAATGCCCCCAGTTCCCAGGTTCCCTGACTCCTGTACCTTCCCAGTGTGGGAAGGGGCAGATGGAGAACACCTCACAACCAGCCATTGGCACTGAAGGCGCTCCTCAATTCTTCAACCTGGGCAGGGCTCAGAGGGGCCAGGGGTGCACGGCAGGGACCTCCATAGTAGCCAAACCACTCCATGGCCTTCTTCAGCCCCGGGATCCCAAACCGGCGGGTGACCTGTGGGAGGGAGGGCATGGAGGCTTTCTGGCTCCCATGGGCCAGCATGTTCTCTGGGCTCTGCTGTGCAGCCCCTGCTCCTTTGCTTGCCATCACTCCTCTCCTCCCCTTGTGGGGCTGCAAGGCTGACAGGGTGTGAGGTGGCTGCAGCGCCCCATGAAGTGCCCACTGTGGGGTGGGGGTGCAGAGCACACCCGCAGAGAGCTCCACACAGATGGGCTCTGCAGCAGAGACAGGCCACTCCATAGTGGGATGAGGGGCCCAGGAAGGACCAGCTCCTCCTCCACACACACTGCTGCCTATAAATAGCCAGCAAGGCTCTCACAGAGGGTCATGCAGTGTCCGGTGCCAGTGGACAAGCTGTTCCTTAACATGACAAGGCTGGCACTTCCCACCTTCTCACCTCCAGCCTGTCTTGGCTTGCAGGCTGAGGTGCTGTGCCATCCTGTCCCCTTGAACCACCCCTCCACTCCCTACAGCCCAAAGGACTTCCATTCTTTGCCTCTGTCATGGCCTGGCACCTCCTCCCCTCAGCATGCCAGGGGTTCTGCCTGCTCACCGCGGTGTTGGGCTCAATGAGGCGGTGCTGCAGGTCACAGGCCTCCTGCCACTGGCCCGTGCGGCACAGGCGGTCCAGCTGACACAGTGGGTCACCCAGAACATTGGCGAGAGCACACACACCTCCAGAGGCACCTAGAGACACCAGGACACACTGGCAGCCAGCTCAGCATGCTGTGCCTATCCAGCACCTCCCGGTCTCTCACCTGCTTCCCCCTGCCAGTGTCCCCAGGCAGTGCCCCCAGCCAAGGACGGGCAGCTGCACTTACCCACAGCATAGCTCGCCAGCAGGAAGCCAGCTGATCCTGCCAGCACCTGGAAATCCTCCTGCCTCGTCTTGTGCACCATCAGCCCGATGCGGGTGATCTGGAGAGAGACATGCCATGCCCTGGGGCAGGCATCACCCAGTCCCCCTTGCTGCAGGGTGCCTGCTGGCAGCCCTGGGGTCCAGGGAAAGGCTGCAAGTCCCAGTTCCCCCTTCCCAGCTTAGGTCCAGGTTTGGTGGTAAACAGCCCTGGGAAAGTCCTGCCCCACTCACATCCCCACCACTGTCCTTGATCCCAATGATGTTGGGGTGCTGAGCCAAGGTGATGACAGCCTCCATGGGCAGGTCCAGGCCGGTGTTGGCAGGGACACTGTACAGCACCACAGGGATGGGGGATGCATCGCCAACCTGCAGGCAGCCAGGCAGATTTCAGCAGCTGAGGCGGGTTGGGAACACATTGAATGTGGGAAACGTGTTCCCCCAGCTGGGGTTGCTGGCCAGCACTGGACACGGCTCACCTCTGTGTAATGATGGATCAGGGCAGCAGTGGTCATGGCCCCCCGGTAATAGCAGGGTGTCACAACCAGTGCCACATCAGCCCCCGCCTCTGCCATGCTGACTGTCAGCTTGATGGTGGCCTGGGTGGCTGGGGAGGAGGCAAAGGGATGAGGTGTGCTCCAGGGGGGACACATGGCCCCTGCACTGCCCCCACACTGCCCACACAGGCACTCACATTCGCAGCCCGAGCCAGCCAGCAGCAAGCGGTCCCTGGGCAGAGCCCGGCGCATGCAGCTCACCACCTCCACCTTCTCACAGGAGGCCAGGTATGGATACTCCCCGTTGGAGCCCAGCGCCACCAGCCCTGGAACACAAATGTGGGGAGGGCAGGGCTCAGGTACAGGAGAAGGGTGCCAGGACTGTCAGGTATCCATATTACCCTCACTCCCCTCTTTGCTGCTGGCACCCAGGCTCCAGAGCCCAGAGTGTGCTCTCTCCTGCCTATGTCCTCTGGGGATCATCCTTGTGAGGCTGCAGCCTCTTCTGCAGCTCCTCTCCAATCTATCCATCCTTGGCAATCGACAGATACGTATCCCAGGAATTTCAGAGAGTGTGCATGGGAGTGCATGGTATATGTTCAAGCCTGCAGCTATGTGTGGAACAGGTGTGCAAGCCTGCAGATGTGTGGAGTGTGTGTGCAAACATGTGCTGGCCTGTGGTGGGGGTGTGCAAGGACACACTGGTGTGCCTGCAAAGGCCCCAGGTGGGTGACCCGAGGTGTTGCCAGCCACAGAGCAAAGTCCAGCTAGAGGCTGAGCACCCTTGGGAAGCTGGCAGGCAGCCTGCACGCTGCTGCACAGCCCCTCTGGCAGGCAGGGATCTGGCAGGAACGTGCAGGGAGAAGCACAGTGGGCAGCGCTTACCTCGGAAAGGAATGCTGGCATAGTGGCGCAGGTTCCCCTCCAGCTGGGCATAGTCCACCTCCTGTGTGGCTGAGAAAGGGGTGGTGAGGGGGGGGAAGATGCCCCCAAGATTGAGTGAGGGCTCTGATCCCTGTGGGGTGCTGAGCCCCCGGCACTGCCTGGGGGCTGCCCGGTGCAGAGGTGCCAGGGTGGAGCGGAGGGACGAGGCGAGGCGGGTGCTGAAGGCCATGGCGGCTGGCGCTGCCGCTGGCTGCGCTGCTGCCTCGCCGAGGGGCTGTTAATGTTTGACGGGGCACGTGAGGGACCCACAGCCCTGCTGGGCAGATGGCATGGGGGGTGGTACCAGATGAGCTCAGGATGTTCTTCCCCCCTCAGGAGCTGGCTGCAAGGAGCTCAGCACCCCTCCAGGTGACCACGGCCATGACTTTCCCTTCGGCTTGCCAGCCCTGGCAGCCATCCCTCTGTCTCGTCCAGGGCTGGGCTGCAAGGCCAGGGAGGGACCAGGCATTGCAAGCAGTCCCAGGGCTTTGGTCAGGGATCACCTGATCCAGCTGTCAGTGTAAGGTCTCCTGTAAAGGGGTGAGTGTGAGCAGTTCCATATAGGGAGCAGTGAGCACTGCACTCAGTATGTGTGCAAAGGGACCACGTGGGGATGGCTGCAGCAGGAAAGGCAGAAGGACAAGAAGCCATCCAGCCCCACAGAATGGCTGTCCAGCACGGATACAGCTGCTGCTCTCTGGCACAGCCCCAGCCTCCAGCACAACATGGACTCAGGTTGAGCTATCCTCCATGTATTTTTCCTCCCTGACCTTGCCCAGGTGGGACTTTGTAGGACTGTGAGCAATCAGGATGTCCTGCAGCAAGGAGTCCTGCCCTTGAACCACTTGGCGTCACCAGTACTTGAGTCCTAGTGATAGGAAGCAGGGCTCACCATGCTGCCAGATAACCCTGCTCCCAGGAAAACCCAACTTCCCCAGACTCATCAACGCTGGTGCAGGCTGCCCAACCTCAAAGCCACCTGAAGCCAAACGCTGCTCTTTGCTGACTTTTATTGACACAGACAAGCCTTGTCTGGATCCTGCTCCTTGGAGCTGAGCCCAGCCCCTGGTCCCTGCCTGCTGCCATCATGCAGGGACCTCCATCTCCCCCTGTGGCTGCTCCTTGGTCTCCAGTGCCTGGCGTGTGTCCACCTGCCACTGCTGCACCAGGTCTGTCGGGGTCTTGCCAGCCTGCAAGAGTGGGCAGAGAGAGGCTGAGCACAGGCTGGTGCAACATGGTGGAGCAGCAAATGGCCTCAGTGCTGGCCCCACACACTGACCTCATTCTTGGCCATCATGTCAGCCCCATAGAGGATCAGCGTTTTGATGATCTTGTAGCGACTGAGCCGTGTGGCATCATGCAGCGCTGTGTCACCTTCCTGTGAGAGACACAGCTTCACTGGAGACTGTGGTCCAGGGACAAGTGCCTGTCCCCAGCACTGCTCCTCAGTCCTCAGCACACCAATCTCCACACCAGGGGGACTGTTCTGTCCCTGGCTGTGGCTACAACCACCCTGGGGTAGGGATGTGTGTGTCCAGATACGCCCTACCGTGGGTGCTGGAAGCCCTTGGAGTGGTCAACAAAGGGAGGGGGATCAGTGTTGCCCCCACTGATGCCTGCATGGCTGAAGCACTCACCCTGTCTGGGGCATTGATATCCACCCCGCAGTGGATGAGATGCTCCACAATGTCAAGGTGTCCGGTTCGGGTGGCCACGTGAAGAGGTGTGCTGAGCAGCTTGAGGGGGGATGAGATGAACATCAGGGGGGATCAGCACCCACACCTGCTAACCCAACAGAGGGTCAGCTCTGGTACTCCAGGGGATGCCCCTGCCCCTGGCACAACCCTGTGACCTGCTCTGCCCTGCTCACCTTGTCCTTCACATTGAGGTCTGCCCCGCGGTCCTGCAGCAGTTTGACAGCATCCAGGTGCCCACCCCGGCAGGCCCAGTGCACAGCAGTGCAGTCCAGCTGGACATACAGCGCTGTGTCATGGTGGGGGACACCCCTGCCCTGTCCAGGTCCCCATGCTGGAGCTGAACTGGCAAAGCTCTGCCTGCAGCCACCTCCATTATGGGGACAGCACTGGGGACTGCAGGGTCCCCAGTCCTGCCGTAGTTCTGGCTGCAACACACCCAGATGCCCAGACCAGCATGCAGCTGGAAGCAGAATCCAGCCTCACCCGGTCCCTGAAGTCAACAGTGGCCCCACTGTCCAGGAGCTTCTGCAGGATTTCCATGTGTCCCTCCAGCGAGGAGTGGTGCAGGGCTGTGCGGTGGAACTGGCGGACAGGGTGGCACATTGGAGGATGGATGCATCCTTCCTTGCCCAGTCTGGTTGTACCCTCCAGCCCTGTCCCAAGGGTCCCAGACCTCGCCCACAGGCATGATGGGGCATGGCTGCAGGACTTGGTGGCATGCAATAGGCAGGGGGGCAACCAGTGGCTGTCAGGGATGCTACCTCATCAGATGTGTCAGGAGAGCCACCATCTGCCAGAAACTTCTCGATGACATGCATCTTGCCCTGGACAGCAGCTCGCAGGAAGGTCTCTGGCTCCACAGGACCCTCCTGGCAATGGCACAGGCTCAGGGCTGGGGCAGCACAGGGGTGCAGGAGAGGAGACAACATGGGGGCCTCCTGCCCTGCTTCCCCAGGGAGGTCTCTGAGTGGCAGGGTGACCCGGGGGCTGGCCTGGGGGTGGTCCAGCTCCTATCCCAGCAGCCCCCTCCCACATCTTGGGACCCCTGACGTACAATCTCCAGGGGCTCAGGTGGTGGAGTGGGCTCGGGGGTGGCTGCCCGCTCTGCCCGGCGCTGCCGGCGCTGCTTGCGGAGCTCGATGAGTCGCTGGATGCTCCCCACGTCGATGATCTCCCGCCTCAGATCCACTGAGCTCCTCCGCACCTTCTCCTGGCCCTGGTGAGCACACACAGTGCCCGGTTTGACTTCTCTGTGACCAGCCAGCCCTGGCCACCCTGCATCCCAACCCAACTCACCTTGATGGCCTCCAGGCCCCAGTTCCTGGGGCCACAGCGCTTCTCTTCCTCCAGCTCAGGTGTGTTCATCCGCTCCACGGCCGGTGGCTCCCGTGCACCATCCCTTTTGAGTTTCTGCACAGGCACAGCGGGTGCTGCACGATCTTGTCTGGGCACAGAGCAGCCCCACTGCCTCCATCCTCAGCCTGCCGGGGAAGGTGGCTCTGGGCATGGCTCCACTCGTCGCTGAGGTCTGTGGGGTGCTGGCAGCCCTTGGGCCTGCGCTTGCCTGCCCACCCTGCTTGATAAGCTGGGCACCTGCCAGCTGCTCAGTTCTGCCCCATGGGCCAGAGCTGCCGGGTGGGGAACTTGGTCTCCCTGAGAGTCCTTGGACACCTTCATCTATCCCCCAGGATGGCAAGCTCAGTGCCAGCCTCCTCATGTCTCAGCCCCTAAGGATGGACAGAGTACAATGGTGGCTCCTACTACTGCCCAGGAAGGTTCCCCTGCCCTATGGACTCACCTCCTCCTTCTCCTCCTCTGCCAGTTTCTGCTCAATGAGCTCCTTGGCCCGTTCCACATCCAGCTCCATGTCTGCCTGCAGTGCAGTCCTGTGCAGGATGTGTCCTTCTTGCTACCACAGGCAGGGAGTTCCCAGTCCTGGCCCCCGGTGCTGCCGACAGCTTCGCTGGCCGTGGGGCTTTATGCTGCTGCCCCTCTGTCCCACAGTCCAAGGGCACCAACAGCTGTGGCTGCTCCACATGACTGGGGCAGCTTTTCCATGAGCTCACCCTCCTGCTTTCTGGTGGCCCTGACTCACCTCTCCAGCCCCACACCCTCTTAAAGAGACCCCCCCCACACACACACCCTGGGCTGGCCAGGACATCTGTGCTTGTTATGGGGAGCTGTGGTGTGCAGAACCTGTGACAGCCAGTCAAGATAGGCTCAGCAGAACAGGGACATGATCCAGGGTCATCCCATAGGCATGGCACCTATGCCTGTGCCACCCACCCTGGGGCAAGCAAGGTGCCCTCATGGCTCCCATGAACCCATCTCTGTCCAGTCAGATGCTGCCAGCTGTGCCCTGGCACCCTGGGCAGGGTGGGGGCCTGGGGGGGCCTGCCCACCCCAAAGGGAGCAATGGGTCCTCTCGAGTCTCTCAGCCAGCAGCAGGCAGCATGGGATGCCAGGAGTCATGGCCCCTCTGTGCTGCTTTAGAGGATGACCTCAGGTGTGGAACACTCTGAGCAGCCCTGCCAGGATCCCCGAGGCTGCCTGGCCTCCCCCACAGCACATGGCAGCCTGGCAGCAGGAGCCTGGCCTCACGTGGGGCCAACAGGCAGAGCCGGCAGCTATTCCCGGCAGCAGGAACATTGTTCAACCCTCCTGAGAACTCCCCCCTTATAAGATGAGGCCAACACTGCCTTGTGCTGGGACAGTTAATGCTCTGGGCACCATCCACCAGCACAGAATCTGGGGGAGGGACGGACAGCTACACGTCACTGTTACCCTCCTGGGCACTTCCCAGGGCCATCCTTGGGTGCCTTGGCCCACGGGTGTGACAGCCTCCCACAGCAGAAAGACACTGTTTTCACCAGGGCAGGCCATGGTGGCCATGAAGGTACTCTTGGGACTGTTCCCCTCCATGGACAGTCCCAGCTAGCACAAGGGCAGACACAAGCTTATAGCTCCAGAGGGGAGGCACCATGAAACAGAGGTGGTGACCCCACACTAAGAAGCAGCTGGGATGACAATGGGACAATGCAGGGGAAGGATCCTGGCAAGCAAACAGCTCTGGCAGGACAGGGTCAGGGTAGCACTAGGGAGCAGAGACAGGGTGTCCAGGGTATCCTTGACCACCCTGTGCCCATTCTGACATGGGAGCAGATACAGAACAGGCACAGGGACCTCCTGTGGCTGTGGGCCAGCCCCCTCCAGCCTGTCTCCAAGGCCAGAGGAAGGATGAAAAGGCTTTATTGATAAATACAGATTATGTACAGAGGGGAGACATCTCCACCCAGCCCAGCACCCCACGAGTCTCCTGGCCAGGGGGAAGCCAGAGCCCAGTGGGTCACAGCCTCTCGCTGCCGGCACTGCCTGGCAGAGGAGCCCCAGCCTCAGAGACATTTGGTCTCAAACCTCCTTCAGCAAACACGGCGCCTGCCCGTGTCCCCAGCCAAGGGGAGCCACCACGGTGGCACAGCCCCATGCAGACTTTCCTGGGGGGTCACCTGTGTGGCAGCCTCAGGGGGGAGCAGGTGCAGCTCCAGATGGGCCAGAACACAACACAGGGAATCCCCAGAGGTGCCACTGTCCTCAGCCCCCTGCCCTCTCCCCTCAACCAGTAGGGGGTGGCTCAGTTCCTGGGTGGAAGGGGCTGGTTGACAATCACTTGCACAACAAAATCCTTCTGGATCTTGGTCTCCTGCAGTCGCGTGCGGTCAGTGAGCAGCTTGCCTGAGAAGAACCATCGCTGCCAGGCCAGGTCAATGCCCTCCTGCGCCTGCAGCTGCTTCTTCAGCTGCCCGATGGTGTCACTCATGCTGGCGCTGAGCCGCAGGTCCTTGCCGGTGGAGAGGCGCACCTTGAGGGTGAACTCCCGCCGGGCATTGGGCAGAGGCTCTGCTGGCTCCACCGCCTCCTCCTCGCTCCGCTCCAGGATCAGGTTGACGGGGGGTGCAAGGCAGTAGACGGGCAGCTGGTACCGGTTGCCCAGCTCATCATAGCACTCCGTCAGGGACCCTGGGGACAGCAGGATAAGATGCTAAGGGTGGGCATCCCCATGGACCACTCAAATGGGGACAGGGCCACCTCAAGCAGTGTGGCACAGCCTGCCTTACTCCCCCTGGCTGGACTGAGCTCTGGATAGCAGGTGGGAGCCCCTTTCTACTCCAGCCTGAGACCCCCATGTGCCCAGATACGGGGCACTCAGCACACATCCCATGCAAACCCCCAGTGCTGACCCTCACCATGGGGCAGGGTGATGCTGGCTCCATCGAGGATGGCCTGGGCCAGGCTGTGGTCATTGGCTTCTACAGCATAGGCAGCTGCCTTCAGGGCATCCCAGATCTCCTTGCGGCCTTCAAAGGCTGGTGCCGTGTCCCAGAACTCGTCCCGCTTGCTGCGCAGCTGCCCGTCTGTCATGGGGTAGTCACTCTTCCACTTGGGACACTCCTTCTTCAGGGGCTCATTGCGCCCTGCAGAGGGGGGATATTCAGCCAAAGGACAGGGTTTTCCCTCAGGTCCTGAACCTCCCACCTCCCCATAACCACAGGTTCTTCCTGGGAATCTCCTGCACCCCAGCAAGGGTCTGAGGGATCACCCTGTCCAGTGAACAACAGCCCCCAGTGTAGCCAGGGGTAACGGGGCTAAAGCAAGCCTGGCCCAAGATCCCACTGGCCCCACAGCAGTTGCTCCCCCAAGTGACACCCTTTGCCCCCAGAGGGGACAAGGGCTCTTGCTTCCTTATTTGTGGGACCAGCCACTGCCCCCTAGGGTGGCCATAGGGCCTCGGGGCCCTTTGAGGCAGAGCAGTATTTATAGCTTGGGGAATTAGCCAGGAAATAAGCTGGTGAGTTGGAGCGAGAAGGGGATTACAAAGGCTGAGCTGCAGCAAAGGGGGGTCAGGACTTCACTGTCCCCTCTGCCCACCCTGGGATGACAGGGACCAGCTGCAGGCAAGACAGCATCCCAGGCATCAGGGGAACAGAGGGCATCACTGACAGACTGCAGGTGCCCCAGCAACGAGCTGAACTGAACTGGCTCTCCATGAAACAGCTCCTAGCCACATCCCCACAGACCTTCAGCAGCCAGCATTGCCCAGGGGCTTGAGGCACCCCAGTACCAGTCCCAGAGCATCATGCCCTCACTACGCTGGGCTGTGGCCCTGTGGGAACAGCCCCATCTCATCAGTCCCACAGCCAGGCCAGACACGTGGGGCAGGAAGGAGTTGTTGTCACTCCCAGCTGAGCTGGGGACAATGAATGATAACAGCTCCTTCCTGTCACCCCCCTCCCTGAGCTGGCCCGGCAGCACCCCTCCTGTGGGGACAGGATGAGGGGAAAGTGAGGCTCCAGCTGGGCACAAAGATGCCTGTGCCCACACAGCGACCTGCCAGGCAAGGTGATGCCACACACTCCAGGCACCGGAGACAGCCACCACTGCCAGCTGTGGGCTGAGCCAAGGTGCCCAGGCAGCTGCTCCTGAGCAAGTGTGCGGTGACACAGAGCGCTACGTGACCTTTTTGATTGTACCGACCCTGCCTCACCCGACCCAGGACCACTAGAGCCAGCACAGCATCTGCTTCCCAGCAAGCACCCACCTCAGGGTGTGCCCAAGGGGCACAGGTGCTCAGCTACCCCAGGGCTGGGCACCAAGAATCCCTGGCAGGCAGCATCCATCCTGCCCACACCCTGGAGGAGCAAGGGCAGCCGACTGCAGCCAGTGCTGCCGATTCAGCAGTCACGGTGCTGGGCCAGAGGGATTTGCAGCACCACAGGACATGGCAAGGTCAGAGGCAACACCTGCCCCAGGAGGGCAGCGGAGAAGTGTCCACAGCCAGCCTGAAGGACATGTCTGGGATCATGTCCCTACACTGCTATGGCCACCAGGCTGGGGCACACGTTCCCACAGCCAGGACTCCTGGCCAGCACTGCCAGTCAGCACCATTCCCCCAGCTCTGCTTGCAACAAAGGCTGGCCCAGGAAAGGAGCTGTGGGGGTCGGCTGTGGCAGGGACCGGCTGTGGCTGCCTCGTGTGTACAGACATAACCAGCAGCCTTGCCCAGGTAGGCAGGGGCTTAAGCCTAGTCTATTTATTGCTACCGCCCAGCTGGGCCTGCACCTTCTAATCACCTCCTGCTGCTCTATTCCTAGCCCCTTGTGCAACTCTTCACAGCAGCACCACCAGACAGGTCCATCCGCTCTCTGTGCCCGGACTCGAGCCAACAGGATCTGGCTGGCAGCCTGCTGCCTCCTGCCCTGTGCCTGCAGCTCCCTGCCTGTGGCTCAGCACCCTGCAGTGCCCTCGTGAGGGACCCCTGGGCAGAAGGATGTGACCCAAAGGCTTCCCTGCCCTGGGCCTGCTCCCTGCCTGCAGGAGCCTTAGGCAGCCTCAGATGACAGGTCCTGGAGGCCCCAGAGAAGATGTCAGCCAGAAGGCACACACTACTGCTTCCAGCAGTGCTGGCTGGTCCACTCCCGAGTCAGGCAGGGTTGGGATGCTGCGTGCCACGGGCATGCCCAGCTCCTGCTGTGGTAAGCTGGCCACCCTGGGGACAATGCTGTCACCTGCTTCTGGGAGTCATCGAAGGACCCCTCCACAGGGGGTCACAACAAGCCCCAGCCAGAGCAGGAGCTGGCCAGGGAGGTAGGATGCTTAGCAGAGTCCTTGAGGCAGCAGAGGTGGGCAGGCAGAGCCCCCATCCCTGCTGATGGTAGGTCCTTGTGTACTGGGACCTGCTGGCCCAGGGCACTGTCCCCATACTGCTGGTAAGAGCAGCTGTAGCCTTGCTTCACCTCTACCACTTGCTGAGCAGCTCCCATGGGCTGGTGGAACCATGCAAACAAAGGTAGGAAGCAGCCAGGGCACCTGGCACAAGGGACAGCCTTGCTCTGCCAGGAAGGGACATACTGGAAGAAAGCAGCAGCAGTGACTGACAGCGGTATATCAGGGAGGGACCACGACCCATCCCAGGAGAGCAAGTGGGGATGGAGTCACAGGCTCTGCAGCCAGCTGTTGCCTGGCACGGGAGGGGATCACACAGATCCAGATGTTGGGATCTCACCCCATCCCCCATCACATCCTGATGCTACAAGGCAATGGCCCCACATTCCACCAAGCTAA